GTGCACGTTCATCGTCGTTCCACGTAGCCGTCTTTAACAGTTAAAGTCCCTAAGAAACTTGCCTGAATTCCACGTAGCCGTCTTTAACAGTTAAAGTCCCTAAGAAACTTGCCTGAATTCCACGTAGCCGTCTTTAACAGCTAAGGAAACAAAATCGCTGTCACCATTACTCTGTCCATTATAAAGAAGTATGCCATCATTAGCAAGAGTCAGAAACTCCAACTTCACGTTCATTCGAACATAAGCGTCAAGTCTCCGAAGTTCGATCCAGGAACGACCAGAAAACGCTGGAACTTCCACGGAGTTTTCTGCACAAATTAGAAAGTAAATCCACATTAGGGTAGCGTATTACTTTCAACAGTTCGAAAACTATAAATTTAGAATTACAAAAATTAATTATGTGATATTTACAATATAGTTATGAACCTATAGAGTTATGGCTAAAAACGTCATTATATGGTATATATAATAAAGAGAAACATATAAACCTATATAATCAAAACTTCATTATATGGTATATATAATAAAGAGAAACCTATAAACCTACATAATCAAAACCTCATTATATGGTATATATAATAAAGAGAAACCTATAAACCTACATAATCAAAACTTCATTATATGGTATATATAATAAAGAGAAACATATAAACCTACATAATCAAAACCTCATTATATGGTATATATAATAAAGAGAAACATATAAACCTACATAATCAAAACCTCATTATATGGTATATATAAAATAAGTTGTCTTGTTTAACTTACCCATTTCCACTGGTGCTGTAATGGTAAGTCTGGTACTAAGATATAAGTTGTCTTGTTTAACTTACCCATTTCCACTGGTGCTGTAATGGTAGGTCTGGTATTAAGATATAAGTTGTCTTGTTTAACTTACCCATTTCCACTGGTGCTGTAATGGTAGGTCTGGTACTAAGATATAAGTTGTCTTGTTTAACTTACCCATTTCCACTGGTGCTGTAATGGTAAGTCTGGTACTAAGATATAAGTTTTCTTGTTTAACTTACCCATTTCCACTGGTGCTGTAATGGTAAGTCTGGTATTAAGATATAAGTTGTCTTTTTTAACTTACCCATTTCCACTGGCGCTGCAATGGTAGGTCTGGTACTAAGATACAAGTTTTCTGGTAGACTTAGAGTAATGTCTCGTGTTGACTTTGACTCAAACTGATCGACAGTGGACTTCTGAACTGTGGAACGACGAACAGGGCTACCCGTGGGTGTTACGTCCACATCTAACGGAAAAAATAGTCTTGGAGTAAAAATCATATAAAATACGAAATATATCAAGCTAGTATTTTTTGTGTTCTAGTATTTTCTTACTTGTGTTTCAAAGTAATGTCAACTTACCTAACTAGTATTTTGTAGTATGTTATCTCCATAACATTACTTAACCAGTTTTTTAGACTGATGTAATCGTCTTAATTTTTTTAACTTGTATTTAATAGTGATATAATCTCCATCGACTTATCTAACCAATAATTTGTAGTGCTGTCTTCCCCCCTAGCTTTACCTAATCAATATTTTATGGTGCTGTCTTCCCCCCTAACTTTACCTAACCAGTATTTTATGGTGCTGTCTTTCCCTAACTTTACCTAACCAGTATTTTGTAGTGCTGTCTTTTCCCTAACTTTACCTAACCAGTATTTTGTAGTGCTGTATTTCCCTAACTTTATCTAATCAGTATTTTCTGGTGCTGTCTTTTCTCTAGCTTTACCTAACCAGTATTTTATGGTGCTGTCTTTCCCTAACTTTACCTAACCAGTATTTTGTAGTGCTGTCTTTACCTAACTTTACCTAATCAGTATTTTATGGTACTGTCTTTACTTAACTTTACCTAATCAGTATTTTATGGTGCTGTCTTTTCCCTAACTTTATCTAACCAGTATTTTATGGTGCTGTCTTTCCCTAACCAGTATTTTGTAGTGCTGTCTTTTCCCTAACTTTACCTAACCAGTATTTGGTGGTGCTGTATTTCCCTAACTTTACCTAATCAGTATTTTATGGTGCTGTCTTTTCTCTAGCTTTACCTAACCAGTATTTTATGGTGCTGTCTTCTCTCTAACTTTACTTGTCAAGTATTCTTTCGTGGTGTCTTCTCAGTAAGCTTATTGAAGTTTACCTTATATACTTATTAAATTTTTTTCTCAGTATACTCAGATCTCTGTTATCAATTATCTTATTTAACCAGATATTTCTGAAGAAAAACACTACCTCGTTTACAGGGGCCCTTGTTCGAGACTGAAAGGGGCTTCTGATAACGACAACTTAGCAACCGAAGCTGGCATTCCGAACCGTAAGTGTAACCATCATTTCCGCAGACTGGATTGTTGGTGTCAGAGGAAGGACATATAAAGTCACAAACACACTGTAATCGGCCATTCTTCTCCGTACAGTTGGCACCGTACTTACAAGTCAAGCTGTCACATGATGCCCCTACCATTTTCGCCAAAGATGCTGGTAAAAGCGATATAAAATTCAGTTAAACGTTATTTTTTTTATTAGATTCCCAGTTATTGAATTTTCTATAAAATCAATACTGACCAATTATACCTACATTCTTGTTATTCGTCAGTAATCAGTAGTGTAATGAAAGAAACTGATTATATAGTAGAAACAACTTCAACATTAATGACTAGGAGAAAAAAAAGTAACATACATATTTATAATACGAAAAAGATGAATATATATGTAAAAATATCTTAGCATGAACTAACTTTAATCTAAAACTAGGCTTAGTAATCTGCGACGATGCACGTACACGACAAAATTTTCATTGATCTAAAAACTAGGCTTAGTAATCTGCGACGATGAACGTGCACGACAAAATTTTCATTAATCTAAAACCTAGGCTTACTAATTTGCGACGATGAACGTGCACAACAAAATTTTCATTAATCTAAAAACTACGCTTAGTAATCTGATCTACGTGGAAGTCAGGCAAGTTTCTTAGGGACTTTAACTATTATAGACATCTACGTGGAAGTCAGGCAAGTTTCTTAGGAACTTAACTATTATAGACATCTACGTGGAAGTCAGGCAAGTTTCTTAGGAACTTTA